ATCCAGGCAGTTGAGTCCCTGGGGGAATGTCACTCTGCCCACCTCAAGGACTTGTCAATGGGCTGCAAGTAGTAAAGAAATTTAATAATATTTCTTCTGTTTTTGTTTCCCACATCATTTATCCTGGTGTTGTAGGAGGGTGAAGGAAGTAGAAGATAACCCCCATGTCCATCCATAAAGTAACGAAGAGAACAATGACCTGAATGTTGCTAAAAAGCAACAAACTAGAGGCATATTCAGTAATAATATTCAGACCTCAAAATCATAGTGTTGAGTTAGGAGAGTAGGAAACAGAATAATGCATCACTTATGTTAAAATACAGATAAACACATAGGTATTTAAAGGAAGCTTTTAAGGGTGTACTTCAAACATATAAGCAAGCATGAGTAGGTTGAGAATGGAAATCAGGGGAAGAAGGAAAAGTAAAATGAAGCAAGCATATGATTTCCTCAGACTGAGGAGAACAATAAGCTGTGAGCTAAGAAATGTGATTAGCTCCATTCTGCATGTGAAGGCCAAATGAACAAATCAATCAACCAATCAAGAAAATAAAATCCCTTAGCTAAAGTTAATTAGAAAATAAGTACATTAAATTTTTTCCCCAAAAATTTTACTATGAATCCAACATTTTCTTTTCTGCCACACTCCCTTTTGCAGCCTATTCCTCTTCTATACTTTTAATCCATCCTAAAGGCTTGACAGGGTTAACTTCATAACTCAAAATAATTCAGAGAGAAAGTGTCATTGAATTATAAAAAGGAAGCATTCCGCATCACTCAGAATTTTTTATGGCAATGTAAATTATTTTCATTCAAAAAGCATCTTTTAATATTTTAATTAGGATACTGTGTTATATGAAAGGAACATCTGATTTTAGAAATGCAAATGAGGGTAGGCTAGGAAACAAAGGTACAGAATTAAAAAGGTAATATGCAGTTCAGCAACCAGCAATGAAGAGAAAGAATGTGGGGAAGGATCAAGGAAATAACCTGATTTTTGAAGTGAAAATTGTACTAGTATTTTTCACATTTAGCAATTTGACAAGGTTAATGACAGTTTTCATATACTTTTTACTATAAAATGCAATAATTATCAGTGGGTACTAAACTTGAAATCAATCAAACTGCCTGTATTTATTGACAGCAATGGGAAACAGTTACCCACCCCGCACAGGTTCCTGAGGGCCCCACAGGCTGGCTGAGTTGGGAGGAGTGGCCGTTCACTCACCATCCGGGCTTCCTTTTCCCCTTTCCCTTTCTGCCCACTGCTACAAAACAAAGAAGGCATTGATTGTAGACCATGCTATGAAATAGAGCTGAATTTCACAGCTGTCTCCTTTATTTATTTATTTATTTATTTATTTATTTATTTATTTATTATTTATTTGGCAGAGAG